GTGCCAAAATACTATAATTAAGTTTACTGATGTGTTTAAAGTATTCATCATCTTGTAAAAGTTAAGGTTACTATCAAGTAAGAAGCAAGCTAAACTCACGAGACGTCCATCAAAAAAACTGCTTGGACTATAAAAGTTATAGATTAACTGGCATAAAAGTTCCCCTTTTACTACTGCTTAGATAAGGACCATACCATGATTACTCTGTGGTGACATGAATTAAATAATTTTTCAAGACAGAAAAGAAATAATTATCAAAGACCAAGATGATGTCAAAAATGAACTAATTACTAAAAAAAGCCTGATCATGGAGTCAAGGTAGTAATTTTAAACGCTATCTACATAAAACATGACTGGCTATTAACATAAACTTCCTAAAATGCTAGTTGCAAAACTGAGCAGCATTTCTTATATATTTTTCAATTTATAGGCTTAAAAATAAATGATTACTTTCAGAGTTATTCTAGGGAAAAAACAAAAAAAACCAAATTCAACTCTCTAATTCGCATGAGTGTCAATTCAAAAACCTACTGGATGAAAAAGTGTTAAACTAAGAATTACTTTCTCCAGATTATGTATCTTCTGCAAAATAAAAAAAGAGATCTATGTGGGATATTTGTACAAATTTGCAGCTTCGAAAACTCAAAAAGATTCCACTGAAATATATTTTTTAAAGAAATAATTTAAAATGTTTTCTTTTAGTTATAGATTTTAATTATTGATTTTTTTTCTATACTCCAAAATTTTCCTACAGTTTTTATTTCATAAAACTGTAAATTTTATTTTTGTTGGGATTCCAAAAATAATGTACAGTTTACTGTGTTTACAATCACTAGTTACAAGAAATAACTTTTTTTTTTACCATACCAAGACTACAATCAATCACTTTTTTTAAATTGTTAATCACAACGTTTCATTGAACATATTTAACTATCTCACTACAGTCTCGGTCGATTCAACCTAAAAACTGACCCCAAATCGACTTTTAGAGTTCCCATACTATAACTTCTAATATGTTTTGTGTATCTTCACAAATTTTGAAAGCTTCTAGCATGCATTAAAAGTCATTTGTAGACACAAAATAAAAATGTTTAATGAAGAATTTTTACCATGAATATGTGGTGGCAAAGTCTTGAATGCTCCAAGTGAAAAGTAATTTTCATGTTAAGATTATAAATTTTTAATTCATCTGAAAAATCTCAAATTTCATTTACAAAATCTCTGGAACCTCCAAAGTAAATTTAACACTTTTTTTTTTTTAAGTAAAACTGTCACTTTCTCTACCCTACCTCTATACGAGGTTGGTCATAACAATATACATCTGTTTCTACTTGTATTCTTTTATTGCTCTGTGAACCATGTCTAACTAATAATCCTGCCACACAAGTTGTAAATAACTTGGCATTACCCTATCAAATTACATAACATAAAGGCTACTCACAAACATACTTTATGAACATTATTTTATTATTATTTATTTATTTTACCTAATCTAACCTACAAAATTTCTATTTTAAATTTTAGTTATTTCTTTAATGATAAATAAAGAATATACACGAAAAACAAAAAATAAAGTACTCACCTCGGCCTTTTTTTGTTGTTGACTGTCAGTGAAACTTAACCTATTTTTTTTGTAGTAATGGTACTACTACATTGAATAATTTTTTATTTAATCAACTAATGCACCATGATAAGAAAGTACTTGTACTGAATTTTGAATGCAACTTAGTAAAACTTTGTGACGTGCAGAAAAGGATGCCTATGGCAAGAGAGGTTTTAAACCTGTTTTATATTCATTTTTATTAATATATGTTTTTATATTTTTTGGGGCAATTCTCTTTTCCAATTCAAGTAGTTACTTAGGCCAATATTGCACAATTAAAACAAGACATAATACCAGAGCCTTGCTGGTGTAAATTAAACTTGATACAGCTGAGTGCTAAATGATTTATCCCTACTGACATGGGTCAAAGGCAATGTCATCACTTTGGTGACTTGCATTCAAAATTTTAGTGAACTACTATTTTATGAATGTCAATAAGTTTGGTATCAAATTGTAGATTATAATTTAGTATTATACATTAGTTAGTTTTTCAACTTAAAAGTGAATATTAAATAAGAAATCCTAAATATCAATATTTGCGTGTCAGATGGTATGTTGAATGGCGCATTAATTCAACTTATATGTTTGTGATGTCCGAATACAAAGTCTATAATTTCTTACAAATTAGATACTCAAATTACCGATATTGACAAGCCAGAATATAAAATAAGAACCTCTTATCTTTCCTATTTTCTGAGATATTAATATATTTATTGAATCAACCAAGGTGGACCCGCACACATCTTCAATTTTTAGAAATACTTGCTCACGTACACCTACTCAGCATGTCCCCTAGTGATTTTCTCAGCCTCTGAGAAGTATTTACGTGGCAAACTCTTTCTTTTCATGCTAGATTTCAAGCAGTAACGTAAGATTGGTGAGCTCAAAATTACATATTTTTTTAGGCCCAAGTACAGCTTAGTTACTAAGTTTTATAAATTATAGTGGAATTCTGTGGTATTGATATAGTAATTTGTTATTTTGGGTTAGTTAAAAATGTATGTATAAAACCTAAAAAAAATCCTCCATGTACAAAATTCGATAAGGCTTAGCAACTTACGGCAAGCAGCAAACGAGTACAAGGTTTGTAAGTAGAATTGTTTTCTATACTTCATTTACAGCTCTTTGTTTTAAG